TTTTTTTTTTTTTTTTTTTTAATCCATATCCAAGGACAAGTTTTCATTCATTTTTTTGGAGAAACAGAAAAATATCTACATAAGAGAGAAACATCAATCGGTTGCCTCCCATATGTGCCCCAACCGGGGATTGAACCTGCAACCTAGGTATGTGCCCTGACCTGGAATCAAACCCACAACCTTTTGGTGTCCGGGACAATGCTCCAACGGAGCCACTCAGCCAGGGCTTGTCTTCACTTCTGATGTTTTTCCATTACATAAATTACACACACACACAGAGAAAGGAAAAAAGAACTAGACCTTGAGATATGCTGATACATACAGCAGAGGAAAAAGTAAAGTCTAAAGACTGAGGAGGAACAGCCAAGGAGGTAAGGAGAACCGGGTCAGTGCACTGGCCAGGGTGCCAAGTGAAAATGTCCAAGGAGAGAGAGAGTTGACAGCATCGAATAAGGAAGAGCGGCCAAAAGAACTGAGGACGAGAGGGCTGCGAGGCTGGACAGTCAGGACTGGAGGAAGCTGCTTCAGCATAGGAACGGGCAAAAGCCAGGCTGTGAGAGGGGGGTAAAAGTAGTATGTCACTAGTCCACATGATTCTTTCAGAAGTTGGTAGGTAACGGGAGAAAGAACAGTAGCTGTAGGAAGAACATGCAAGTCAGATTCAAGAAAAATTAGTGAGAAACATTTATTTATAAATATGTCTTTATTGATTTCAGAGAGAGGAAGGGAGAGGGAGAGAGAGAGAAACATCAGTGAGAGAGTCATTGATCAGCTGCTTCTTGCATGCCCCCGACTGGTGATTAAGCCTGCAACCTGGGCATGTGCCCTGACCGGGAATCGAACTGCAGTCTCCTGGGTCCTAGGCCGATGCTCAACCGCTGAGCCATGCCAGCTGGGCGAAACATTTATTTATTGAAAAAAAGAGCTGACAGTTAACCTACAACTGTTTTAAAACTTTACTTCCGATTATTGTTTTATTTAAGTGAACATTCTAGAACTATAAAAGTTTAAAAAACAGTGTTTAAAAGTTGAATAAACCATGTGTACAAGGTACATACATAAAAGTCATTTTTATTCAAAGAGAAACATTCACAGAAACTTTATTAGTGGGTGGAGGGGGGGAAATGGGGGACATTTGTAATACTCTCAACAAAATAAATGAATAAGTCATTTTTTTCCTCATTGATTTCAGAGAGAGGGAAAGAGAGACATCGGTCACCTCCTGTACACATCCTGACGGAGGGGGGCGGTTGTTGGCGAACCCACCACCTTTCTGTCTCCTGGATGATGCTCCAGCCAACTGAGCCATACCAGCCAGGGCTAAAAGTCATTCTTAAGTCAACTATTGCCAGAAAAAGTTTGGACCACATACAACTGCATCTGTTATTTAAAATATGACTAATAAGAGAAAAAAGTCTGAAACTTTTTTTAATGAGAAGAATATTCATTTTAATTACACTCCAAGATGTTACAGAGCTGGAAATTAACAAATTTCAGTCAGTATAAAATAGTTGGTTGATATTCAGTCATTCATACAGCCAGGTAAATGAAACATCACTTCCTACAGGGCTCAGGTAACTCTAAAATCTACCTTAACTTCACACATGTACTATAAAATGATAAATACTTAAAAATTACAATGCAAGGGGAAATATTACAAAATATACAACTGTTACAGATCCTTGTATGAAAGTTCCTTACTTTTAAAGTTCTGCCTTAGGGAATAATACCATGCTACATATCAGGATTGAAAATAAAGTATGTTCCTTGAGGTGACAATGCTCAACAATATTCTGGGTGTATTCTGTAATACCGTGTCTGACAACAATCGAGAGAGAGGCAAAGAAGGAGTTCAATGGTGTTGAGGGAGAAAAAGAGGGGAGTATCACTTGCTGTATGCTGGTTTCCGCTGAAATGCCCTCATAGACAATCTATAGCACTGTAGAAGAAGGGAACCCCTTACATGGACTCCTTGTCCTTTGTCCATGTTTTTTCCTAATTTCTTCATAAGGGTTTACCAAACCCACTTTCTGTTTTTTATCATACAAACCAAAAGGCAATAAGCAAAACAACAGAATCTACCAGTCAGGTCAGTTGTAAATACACAGATTTTGGTTTAGATTTTAATCATGAGATTTAGGCACATCCATCCCTCTTCCCTGCACACTGCCCACCTCCCCTTACTTACTGACACCATCCTCAACTGCAGCTTTAAGGCTGCTTTCCCCCCTCATCAAATGACTTGCCGTTGGCAAGCTGCTTTGCTTGGCAGCAACGCCAGGAATTGTTCGGAATGCTTGCTCAGAATGGATTTTTAAAAATTGGATCAGTGCGCTGCCGTGACCTGTCACACTGGGCTGCTGCAGGCACGGGAAGAATTCACCTTACAGGCTTCCCTCACTGACCTCACAAAGGAGAAGACCGTGCCTTAGAAAGGAAACAAAAAGGCCTCGATTTTAAAAAACCACAGTAAAGTAGGAACACTGTCATAGTAGGGGGGAGGGAACGCCTGCAGCCTGTCTGTGGGGAAAGTTTCTGTCATGAGAGTCAATCTCTCTCCCGTGGTTTCTGGCGCAAGAGGAACGGTCGCCTTACAGGAGGGGGCAGAAAGCCGCCAAACGCCTCTCTTCGGGGGAGGGGACTTCCGACGGGCGTGGGCAGAGGCCGGGAGCTCACTCAAACAGGTCCTCGAACACGCGCTGCCCCATGGCTATGTAGGCCTCCTTCTCCTCCGGCGTCATCTGCGCCACCAGCTCGGGCCGCTGGCTCACCTCCAG